GTCTAGCTTCAGGGGTGTTCTGGAGACAGATTGATTAGGTTACAGAGCCAAATACTAAATTTTCATTGTGGGCATTTATGCCTCAGAAATCGACATAGGTGACGAGTCAGAGTTTGATTTGTTGTTTTGCTGATAGTCTAAAGAAAGTGACAAAGGAAATGTTAATAATGCAAATTTATTTTCTTTTTTCCCACTTAATAGTATTTTATTTTTTCCAATTCCATGTAAAAATAGTTTTCAACATTCACTTCTGTGAGATTTTAAGTTGCAGTTTTTTTCCTCCCTCCCTCCTTCCCTTTGCCCCTGCCCAAGATGGCAAGCAATCTGATATAGGCTATACATGTGCAATCATAGTAAATATATTTCCACATTAGTCATGTTGTGAAAGAAGAATCAGAACAAAAGGGGAAAACCACAAGAAAGAAAACAAAAACAAAAAACAAAAAAAGAGAAAGTAGTATGCTTCAATCTTCATTCAGACTCTTTAGTTCTTCCTTTGGATGGAGACAGCATATTCCATCACGAGTCTTTTGGAATTGTCTCAGATAATTGTATTGCTGAGAAGAGCTAAGTCTATCAAAGTTGATCATTGCACAATGTTGCTGTTATTGTGTACAATGTTCTCCTGGTTCTGCTCACTTCATTCAGTATCAGTTCATGTAAGTCTTTCCGGGTTTTTCTGAAATCTGCCTGCTTAATATTTCTTACAGGCAAATTAATTTTCAAAGTGTGTTTTGCATATATTTTTTGAGCACTGGTTAAACATGGAACAGCACACCCCTGACACCCTTAGCCAAAGCTCATCATTCCTGTTTCTAAAGTCATCTCCCCAAATTTCAAATCCTGTTCTCAAACACCATTACTTTAGCCAACTGTTAACATCCTGAATCTGCGTTTCTTTTCTGAAGCTCCCACATTCAATCAGCATCAGTGATTAAAAAACAAAAAAACCAAAACCAAAAGCATGACTACATCTATCTTCAGTTTCTTTCCCAGGGCTTCATACTCCCCAGTATTGCTTTCTAGGCTCTTTTTGGTGGTGTAATTGGTCCTCACATGAATCACTGGGAGTGAATAGTGGTCTCTAGGTTTGAAAAATTTCAGGAAGCTACCTGTCACACTCCAGATACATCCCCCAAGAAGAATGTATACCTCTTTATGCTCATGCTACACTGGCAGATGACTGATCCATTGTCTTTTAAGTGTACTGGCAGAGAGTTGCCTACCCCTCTCTTCTTTCTTTTATGAGTATTGGGTAAACTCCTCATCATCCCTTAGAGAACAAGAAGCTGCTTTATCCTTAGAGAGTCCATATTCACTCTCTTTTGGAAGGAACTTATACTTAGTCTATAACTACAAAGGTTTAATGATCCTTCTTTCCTTCTTCCCCTACTAAATGCTTTTTGAATGAAGGAACAAATACAAGTAGTGTGAGATAATGCTGACAGAGTAAGTTGGTGCCATGATTTTCCATCTTTCAATCTCCTGATGTAGGTGAGGATTCCCTTTTGAATCTTTAATCTTTCTTCTTTTTTTTTGTTTCTTTTTTAAAGCATTTCTTCCATATTTTCAAATGACACTTAATTCTTCTTGATAACTAGAAAAACAGAGTGCCTTTTTTTTCTAGTTATGGTATCATGTGATCACAGATTTGGTCCTGGGAGGAATTTTAGAAGGCATTTGGTTTAATCCCTTTATTATTCAGGTGAGGAAACTGAATCCCAGAAAAGATAAGTGACTTGTCCAAAGTCACAAGGTAGTCTAGACTTGACTGTCTATGACAGAGACAGGATTCTAACCCAAGTCCCTTCTCCAAATCCATGTTCTTTCCTCTGTACAAGCCCCACATTCTCTCATCATAGGGAGCCAAACTACATTCTGGAGATATGTAACTGCTCCTTGGTACGTTTAACCTGAGTTCAAGTTACAGCTTTATTACTTACTGCGTGACTAAGCTTAGGTCACTTAACCTCCCTAAACAGGAGTTTCATCATCTGCAAAATGCAAGGATTGGACTAAATCTTCTCCAAAATTCCTTCCAGCTATAGCATTACATGATTTTGTGATCCTTGGGAGAATCTTTTTAAAATGAAAATACTTCCAATTGAATTTAAGCTGTTGTCAAGTTTGTCACCTTAATTTTCAGAAAATACATTGGTAGCGATTAGTTTATAGCCAATTGAAAGGAACAAATAAAGGATGGATGTCTCTCTCTCTCTGTGTATGTGTGTTGGGGGTAGAAGAAACTCCAGGAGGAAGGACCTGTACTTAAAGGAAAATGGGGGGACCCTCATAATAAACCTCACATTCTGCCTGTGCTTAGCTATCATTCTAGACCTTAAAATTGTCTAGGGCAGTGTCTTGAACATACATCAGTATGTCAAGGATCTATGACTTTTTTAGTATAGGAACTCCTTCCATCCATGAAGATTGATGTATCCTCTCTATACCTTAGGTATAGATTTTGTTGTTGTTCAATCATTTCAGTCATATCTGGCTCTTTGTGATCCAATTTGGGTTTTTCTTGGCAAAGATACTTAAGTTGTTTTCCATTTCCTTCTCCATCTCATTTTACAGGTGAGGAAACTGAGGCAAACAGGGTTTAGTGACTTACCCAGAGTCATATGGCCAGTAAGTGTCAGAAGACTTGACTTATTCATTAGTGTATCCTCTATGCCATTCTGCTTGTCACAGCAGTATGAACAGTGCATAGCAATTACATGTATATAATTATAGTATAATATTATAATTAAAATAAAGGATTGTCAAATTGAATCTTGTGTGGCATATTTGGTACCTGTGCCATGGATTGCTGTTCTGTACCTTAAACTATCTCTCTCTAGGTATTATCGAAGCAAAATTTTGTGTTCCTCAATGTTTATTATTCACTTTTTTATTGTAGCTTATCTGACTCTACCTTTCCTATTTCCCACTAGCGGAATGATGGTCTGTCAGGTTTGAGTCGTATACATTGGCCATCCTGGCTCATGTGGGCTGAGGTTCAGGGATAGGAGAGGAGGTGGGGAGGGGAGGGGAGAGTAGGGAAGGGAGACCCATAGTCCACACATGAACTCTGATGCTTCTCATAGGCAAATATGTTGTCTAGTCCATGGTGAGCGTAACCCACAAGGATTACATTTGGGATTAGGTTGGAGAACACCTCCAGTTTTATATTCTCCATATCACACACTCAGTTTCTTCTCCTTCAGGCCCCCACTATGAAGTCAAGATTAATGAGTGGAAACTCTTCTGTCAGCTTCAAATTCTCCCTTCCATTTAGGCTCAACAGGGATAAGGAGGACTAAGAAGGCTATGTAGTTTGGAAGAGACGCTTCTATCCTACACACCTAGGAATCATAGGAGCATTAAAGTCTCTAAGTAAAAATGTATATAATAGCTATGGTTAAATCTGAAATTTTGACTGTGATAGCCAAATCTCATTTTTAAATCTGACTTTCATTTTTTCCCTTGGTTACATGCCTTTTGGTATCTTGAGGGACATTGCCTCACAGGTTTTATTTATATTGTGGCTAACACCTCTAGAATTCTGGTACCTAGTTACACAAGTGGTTAGAGCATGATCCTTACATGATCCAGCTAGCTAGCTTTACATATCGAAAACATCTCTGCTGAGAGGTCCCAGGTGACATCTCTAACCCTGACCAATCAGCTTGCAAAAGCATGACATTCTTTCAGCAGGGCTCAAAAAAGAGTGTGGTTGTTGAGTGGAAACTCAGCATCTCAACTGTATAAACAATTTGAACTGCATGTTCCACAGCTGGAAGGTCAGTAATATTGTCATCAGCTAAGTGGCTCAGTGGAAATGGAATCAGGAAGACACGAGTTCAAATTCTGTGACCCTGGGCAAGTCATTTAACCTCTGTCTGACTCAGTTCCTACTTATCTAAAAGGGGGAATAATAAAAGCACCTATGATACAGGATTGTTGTGAGACTAAAATAAACTGAAATGTACAAAATGCTTGGCAAACCTTAAAGTTATATATATATATACATATATATATATATATATATAAATTATTATTATTCTACTCTTCTAATGATAAAAAAACTATGGTCCCTGACTATAGTTTCAAAAATTAAAAAAAAAAAGGTAATCAACTACTGGGGCCAATTGACCCACTCCTATTTTATCCTATGTGGTGTGTGTGTGTGTGTGTGTGTCGGGACTGAAAGAGGCAGTAGGCAATAATGATAGCTCATATTGATTCAGCACTTTTCAGTTTGCAAAGCACTTTCCTTACAACCGTACTGTAATAAGGCAAATGTTCTTAACCTGAGGCTCTGTGAACTTGTTTTTTCAAAAAGACATATTTTGATAACTATTTCAATATAATTGATTTTCCTTATAATCTTGTATATTTTATACATCTAAAAACATTCATCTAGGAAGGGTTCATAGGCTTCACTAGATTGCCAAAAGGGTCCATCTCTCTCTCTCTCTCACACACACACACACACACACACACAAGTTAAGAAGGACTATAAACAGTACAAGTATTATTTTACAGATTCAAAAACTGATACTCAAAGAGATTGATTTACCAAATTCACATAGTTAGGAAGTCCCAGAATCAGAATTTGAATCCAAGTCTTTTTTTTAAATGTTTAATTTTTAATTTATGGAATTAAACAAGCATTTCCCTAGAGTAGTATAATAAAAAAAAGGTGATTGCACATGAAATTTCAAATCTATTATGTACAATTTGCTATTCCTTTTAAATATACAATTAACATGTAATTTTTTCCTTTTTTTCTTCCCTTCTCCTCCCCTCTGCCCTACAGAATGCTACCATAAGATACAAATATGTATATGTATATAGATATGTAAAACTATTCTATACATACTTCTGTTTATCAATTCCTTCTCCTTCCTGCAGATAGTGTCTTCCTTCATATGTCCTTTGTAGTTAATTTGAGTATTTATAATGTTCAAAATGACTTATTCACTCAAAGTTTGGTTTTTTTTTTTTTTTGGCAGTTGGGGTTAAGTGACTTGCCCAGGATCACACAGCTGGTAAGTGTCAAGTGTTTGGTCTGAGGCCACATTTGAACTCAAGTGCTCCTGACTTCAGGGCCAGTGCTCTATCCACTGTGCCACCTAGCTGCCCCAAAGTTGTTTTTAAAACAATATTGCTGTCACTATACAATGGTCTCTTGAACCCACGTCTTTTGACCTCAATTCTAGTGCTCTTCTTACTACAACACAAGTAGCTTATGTGTATGTACCTGGAGTGTTTTACGGTTGCAGGGTTTTACACCCATTATCTCATTTAATCCTCATGACAACCCTGTGAGGCAGGTAGGAAAAGCATTATCACCTCCATTTTGTAGATAAAGAAGTCAAAGCTCAGAAAAATACATTGACTTGTCCAGGGTCAGCCAGCTGGGAAATAGTAACCTGGGACTGGAATTTGGGTTTTTTGACTGCAAATACGGTGGTCATTCCATTAGAAAAGAAAGGGTGAAAGAATTTCTTCTCTCTCAATCCAGAGATTCTACAATCTTGAGGGAGACATGGCCATTGTTAAGTTTTAAAATGGGTATATTTCCCCTAATTTTAATGGATTCTAGGGAGAGAAAGATGTTCTTGGCCTGAGTGAAATGTCTAGTTCATATCATCTTTCCTCCCATCTCACTCACTGTAAACCTGGCTCTGTTCTTTTTTTCTAAATGTTCATGAAGTCCAAGAACTACACAGTTTATGTGTAGTTTTGCAAGCTACAGGGCATGCATGGTTAAACACTCACCCTGGGTCTAGAAAGGCGTCACTTCCAAATAGGAAGTGGTAATTCAGCAATTTACTCTTAGACAATTTCAGCCTTTCGGTTGTCTTTTTCTATGATCCTATTTTAATTCACATCTTGTTGACAGGATGAAATTGATGATGAGTGTGCCTGGACTGTCTCAAAGAGGAATATAACCAGAGGACCATTTTAGAATTCTAGAGATATTCACAGGTGAGTGATTGGAAGATCAATGAAAAAGCAGAATGCAAGAGTACGAAACTTTTAAAAAATTAAAATTTTTTTCAATATGCTTGCAAAAGAATGGGGTGTCAGAAACGGGATGCTTTTCAACAAAATACCAAGTTATTGGGATATTGATGGAATGAAATGGTTTCAGATATATAATGTGTCCTTGACTTCTATAAAAGCATATTTAATAGATAATTCGCAAAAAAGTACTAGACTTTATACAAGAGGCTCAGTTTCATTAAAAATGCTTAGATGTTGATTTTATTTTAATTGCTTTTAATAGAGCTTGTAAGGGATTATGTATATTTTACAGTAAAGATATTGTATGGTATCTTCCTTGGGAAAAATTGTTCATTTTGGCCAACCTCTCTATCTCCCAACAACAATAACTACAATTCCTAGAAGTCAGTTCTCCAAACTTCATTAAGCTATGATTTTAGGCATAGCAAACCAATGGGTATGTAGTCTAGAATATGGAGTTCTATTTTTTTTTTTCGCTGGAAACTAGAGATCAAGCTAATGGAAACCTTTGAATGAACTTATTCAAGGGACTATGGGCTGGAAGAAATAGCACATCACTGCTAAGTGATGGAACATAGCACATGAAAGTCTTTTAGAGTTAATACTCTGTGATTAAGTAAGAAAATTAAACTAAAATAAAATTACTTGCCTAGCCTACGGAGATTTTCTTTAGCACAAAGTAGAAAACAACTCCTGTCCAAATCAGCACTATTTAGGAACATGGAAAAAGAGGGCCCTAAGTGGAACTATTTCTCAAATACTTCAAAGATATAATTTACACAAATAATAAAAGGTTTGAAGAAGTATAAATCTTCCTGTCAAGACAAACAAAGAGAAAAAAAATCACTGGGAAAAACCTTTTGGTTGATTTCTCAACCACTACTTTCGAAAAGGAGAAGGAAGGCAGCCTAGCACTTCAGGAGGCTTTCTCTCTTTTTTATACCCCTAATCAGTAAAATGAAGCAATTTCACTGAAATGTTCTCTCTAAGGCTCTATTTAGCTACAATGGTCTTTGCCTATGACTCTAAATATATTAGAGGGCCTAAAAGGTATTAAGTGGCCACTTGGATGCTGAACTTATAAACCTAAAGACTTGTTTTTCCCCCTGTGAACATATGTTGGCATGTAAGCTGCAGTTGTCTTCACAGTGGGATATTTGCTTATGATCATCATGAACACTGCAAGGTCTAATGACTGATTACTAAGCAGACCATGAAATTTGCAGTGGGAAAGTCAGGGAATTTGGAAAATAAAGTCTGGGTTCAAATCCCAGCTCTGCCATTAAAGGCTGTTGGACCTTGAGTAGACACAAGCTTAGTTTCCACAACTGTAAAATGAAGGAAATATCTAAAAAAAGAAAAGAAAAAAATGAAGGAACTATGTAAGTTCTAATGTTCTTTTCAACTATAAAATTGTATGACCTGTAAAGGGATGACAGTAACCTATCACAAACATTTCCTGTTTTTAGTTTTATTTTGTTTCCAGCTAAGGGAAGCTGGAGTCAACTGGGGGTTGGGGGAAGTTCTTACTCAGTTATGGTCTTAACTTTCCTTCTCATTGGGAAAAGGGCTTGGGACTCAGGTAAGTGATGGAGGTACAGGAGTCTAATAAATGTTGAAGTGAGTTTTATTTGTGTGTTTGACTTTCAGAAATCTACCTATTGTGACTGATTTTTATTTGTCTTTTACAAGTGTTGCAGGCAGCTCTTGGTACATTGTTTAGTAATCATGAAACAAACCTTTATTAACCTTATTCATTTTTCTTCTTTATTGATAGATCTTATTTTGACCCAATAAATATCACCCAACAAACTCTCCCAACAGTTCTCCCATGATCGAACTCCCTCCACCTCCAACACCTGGCCTGAAGTAAATTCCCAGAAAAGAATTTAGCAAAACAACCTAGCAGAATAATTGTGATTAACAGGAGAGGTTTCCATTAGGTTAGTTTCACAAAACTCTCATCTGAAATCAACAAGTATTTCCTGAGTGCAAGTCATAGTGCTGATCCTACCATCATTCAGAAATTCAAAATTTAGAGAATATTTATTTTCCTTGGGAATATCACAGCATCCCAATTTTATCAGTGGAGGAAAATTAAATTAGAAAGGAAATTACAATAATGGAGAGTGTCATCTTTACATACCGTTCTAGCTCCTGCCTTTTGTTCTTTCATCTTACAAAACCAACATAGTTTTGGAAAATTACCATGGAATCACAACCTTCTTTTTAATTTTGCACATTCTAATCATGGAGAAATAATAATTTTGATACGTGATCTTTATATTTACCTTACCCCAAATAATATCAGGCAAAACCAGCCCTGGGCAGAAGCAGATAAACAAGAACAAGAGAAATATATTAAATGTAATATAATTTAAAAAGTATTGTTCTTACTGATGCTTGTGTCTGGCTCGAGTAATACCTCACTTAGGTGTTTATTTTTAAAAATTCTTCAGTCAATCAATCAATAAACATTTATTAAGTGCCTACTGTGTGCAGCACACTGTGCTAAGTGCTGAGGATACAAAAAGAGGCAAAAGACAGTCCCTGCCCTCAAGGAACTTACAATCTAATTGAGAAGACAATATGCAAACAAATATATAGCAAGCAAGCTAAATATAGGATGAAACGTTTACTGCATAGATCACAAAGCCAGGATAATGACAGCATCATAATCTACTCATTTCCCTGAATCAATGTATGTGGTATTTGTGGAGAAGATTGAGTACAAATTTACAGGATGTAAATTTAGGAGGAATGGACTTGAGTAGAGAAACCTATGGGTCCTTGGGAAAACTCAAAACTGTGGATTGCACGTTTTGATGTCTCTAGCCTCCTTAGGCAACCATCTGCACCACAAGTCAGCTGCTAGGTTAGAGTGGCCTGGTAGGCCAAGAACCCCTTTTCTAAAGTGCTTGACTGGGCTGTAAGGCTCATGTTGGTGGTTAGCCAAGAGTTTCCTGTCTCTCAAAGTCTCTAAGGCAAGTTGTCTGTCTCCTTTCTTTCTTTCTTTCTTTCTTTCTTTCTTTCTTTCTTTCTTTCTT